TTCGAATAAACTGAACGAAAAGGGCACTTTAGGGAACAATTTGGTCCATCTTGATCGGATATGCAATCCGTTTTGACCTCAGACAATTAGGGGCCGAGTTATAAACGACTTGACCCATAATCAAAAATTTTCGAAAAAAATTTCGAATAAACTGAACGAAAAGGGCACTTTAGGGAACAATTTGGTCCATCTTGATCGGATATGCAATCCGTTTTGACCTCAGACAATTAGCGGCCGAGTTATAAATGACTTGACCCATAATCAAAAATTTTCGAAAAAAAAATTCGAATAAACTGAACGAAAAGGGCACTTTAGGGAACAATTTGGTCCATCTTGATCGGATATGCAATCCGTTTTGACCTCAGACAATTAGGGGCCGAGTTATAAACGACTTGACCCATAATCAAAAATTTTCGAAAAAAATTTCGAATAAACTGAACGAAAAGGGCACTTTAGGGAACAATTTGGTCCATCTTGATCGGATATGCAATCCGTTTTGACCTCAGACAATTAGCGGCCGAGTTATAAACGACTTGACCCATAATCAAAAATTTTCGAAAAAAAATTTCGAATAAACTGAACGAAAAGGGCACTTTAGGGAACAATTTGGTCCATCTTGATCGGATATGCAATCCGTTTTGACCTCAGACAATTAGGGGCCGAGTTATAAACGACTTGACCCATAAACAAAAATTTTCGAAAAAAATTTCGAATAAACTGAACGAAAAGGGCACTTTAGGGAACTATTTGGTCCATCTTGATCGGATATGCAATCCGTTTTTACCTCAGACAATTAGGGGCCGAGTTATAAACGACTTGACCCATAATCAAAAATTTTCGAAAAAAAATTTCGCATAAACTAAACGAAAAGGGCACTTTAGGGAACAATTTGGTCCATCTTGATCGGATATGCAATCCGTTTTGACCTCAGACAATTAGGGGCCGAGTTATAAACGACTTCACCCATAATCAAAAATTTTCGAAAAAAATTTCGAATAAACTGAACGAAAAGGGCACTTTAGGGAACAATTTGGTCCATCTTGATCGGATATGCAATCCGTTTTGACCTCAGACAATTAGGGGCCGAGTTATAAACGACTTGACCCATAATCAAAAATTTTCGAAAAAAAATTTCGAATAAACTGAACGAAAAGGGCACTTTAGGGAACAATTTGGTCCATCTTGATCGGATATGCAATCCGTTTTGACCTCAGACAATTAGGGGCCGAGTTATAAACGACTTGACCCATAATCAAAAATTTTCGAAAAAAAATTTCGAATAAACTAAACGAAAAGGGCACTTTAGGGAACAATTTGGTCCATCTTGATCGGATATGCAATCCGTTTTGACCTCAGTCAATTAGGGGCCGAGTTATAAACGACTTCACCCATAATCAAAAATTTTCGAAAAAAAATTTCGAATAAACTGAACGAAAATGGCTTTTTAGGAAACAATTTGGTCCATCTTGATCGGATATGCAATCCGTTTTGACCTCAGACAATTAGGGGCCGAGTTATAAACGACTTGACCCATAATCAAAAATTTTCGAAAAAAAATTTCGAATAAACTAAACGAAAAGGGCACTTTAGGGAACAATTTGGTCCATCTTGATCGGATATGCAATCCGTTTTGACCTCAGTCAATTAGGGGCCGAGTTATAAACGACTTCACCCATAATCAAAAATTTTCGAAAAAAAATTTCGAATAAACTGAACGAAAATGGCTTTTTAGGAAACAATTTGGTCCATCTTGATCGGATATGCAATCCGTTTTGACCTCAGACAATTAGGGGCCGAGTTATAAACGACTTGACCCATAATCAAAAATTTTCGAAAAAAAATTTTGAATAAACTAAACGAAAAGGGCACTTTAGGGAACAATTTGGTCCATCTTGATCGGATATGCAATCCGTTTTGACCTCAGTCAATTAGGGGCCGAGTTATAAACGACTTGACCCATAATCAAAAATTTTCGAAAAAAAATTTCGAATAAACTGAACGAAAATGGCACTTTAGGAAACAATTTGGTCCATCTCGATCGGATATGCTATCCGTTTTGACCTCAGACAATTAGGGGCCGAGTTATAAACGACTTGACCCATATTCAAAAATTTTCGAAAAAAAATTTCGAATAAACTGAACGAAAATGGCACTTTAGGAAACAATTTGGTCCATCTCGATCGGATATGCTATCCGTTTTGACCTCAGACAATTAGGGGCCGAGTTATAAACGACTTGACCCATAATCAAAAATTTTCGAAAAAAAATTTCGAATGAACTGAACGAAAAGGGCACTTTAGGGAACAATTTGGTCCATCTTGATCGGATATGCAATCCGTTTTTACCTCAGTCAATTAGGGGCCGAGTTATAAACGACTTGACCCATAATCAAAAATTTTCGAAAAAAAATTTCGAATAAACTGAACGAAAAGGGCACTTTAGGGAACAATTTGGTCCATCTTGATCGGATATGCAATCCGTTTTGACCTCAGACAATTAGGGGCCGAGTTATAAACGACTTGACCCAAAATCAAAAATTTTCGAAAAAAAATTTCGAATTAACTGAACGAGAAGGGCACTTTAGGGAACAATTTGGTCCATCTTGATCGGATATGCAATCCGTTTTGACCTCAGACAATTAGGGGCCGAGTTATAAACGACTTGACCCATAATCAAAAATTTTCGAAAAAAAATTTCGAATAAACTGAACGAAAAGGGCACTTTAGGGAACAATTTGGTCCATCTTGATCGGATATGCAATCCGTTTTGACCTCAGACAATTAGGGGCCGAGTTATAAACGACTTGACCCATAATCAAAACTTTTCGAAAAAAAATTTCGAATAAACTGAACGAAAAGGGCACTTTAGGGAACAATTTGGTCCATCTTGATCGGATATGCAATCCGTTTTGACCTCAGACAATTAGGGGCCGAGTTATAAACGACTTGACCCATAATCAAAAATTTTCGAAAAAAAATTTCGAATAAACTGAACGAAAAGGGCACTTTAGGGAACAATTTGGTCCATCTTGATCGGATATGCAATCCGTTTTGACCTCAGACAATTAGGGGCCGAGTTATAAACGACTTGACCCATAATCAAAACTTTTCGAAAAAAAATTTCGAATAAACTGAACGAAAAGGGCACTTTAGGGAACAATTTGGTCCATCTTGATCGGATATGCAATCCGTTTTGACCTCAGACAATTAGGGGCCGAGTTATAAACGACTTGACCCATATTCAAAAATTTTCGAAAAAAAATTTCGAATAAACTGAACGAAAAGGGCACTTTAGGGAACAATTTGGTCCATCTTGATCGGATATGCAATCCGTTTTGACCTCAGACAATTAGGGGCCGAGTTATAAACCACTTGACCCATAATCAAAAATTTTCGAAAAAAAAATTCGAATAAACTGAACGAAAAGGGCACTTTAGGGAACAATTCGGTCCATCTCGATCGGATATGCTATCCGTTTTGACCTCAGACAATTAGGGGCCGAGTTATAAACGACTTGACCCATATTCAAAAATTTTCGAAAAAAAATTTCGAATAAACTGAACGAAAATGGCACTTTAGGGAACAATTTGGTCCATCTCGATCGGATATGCTATCCGTTTTGACCTCAGACAATTAGGGGCCGAGTTATAAACGACTTGACCCATATTCAAAAATTTTCGAGAAAAAATTTCGAATAAACTGAACGAAAATGGCACTTTAGGGAACAATTTGGTCCATCTCGATCGGATATGCTATCCGTTTTGACCTCAGACAATTAGGGGCCGAGTTATAAACGACTTGACCCATATTCAAAAATTTTCGAAAAAAAATTTCGAATAAACTGAACGAAAATGGCACTTTAGGAAACAATTTGGTCCATCTCGATCGGATATGCTATCCGTTTTGACCTCAAACAATTAGGGGCCGAGTTATAAACGACTTGACCCATATTAAATAATTTTCGAAAAAAAATTTCGAATAAACTTTTTAATCACACTTTTTCATTGCTGCTTTGTCAATTTTTGCCAGCGATGGTGGCCAGAGCAGCTACCTTGCCAGCAGCGTGCCCGGCCTCGCTCCCCGCACTTTCCAATCGTACTTCGTACTGCTGTGCTTCTCGCCTGCTATTTAAAGATTTATATACCACTCAGATCTATATTTACATTGCTCCGCATCCTCAATTTCTGCCTTTGCTATAATACGCGTCGATTTCTCGTTATGTATTTTTTTGCTGCCAGCTGACTGGTTTTGCGCATTTCGGCGGGAAACAGGCAGCTGCGCAGCCACGTACCCACCCCTTTTCACATTTTCCCTTTGTCCGTGCAAATAGTTCATAGTGTCGTGACTCCGCTTCTTGCACAGACCGTCCGTGCTAATAATTTATTGTGTCGTGGATTTGCTCACGGACCGTCCGTGCAAATAGCTTTTATAGCATTTTTTTGCTAATTTGCACGGACCGTCCGTGTAAATAGAATTACCCCCCTCGAATAACCGACTAATTCGACCCCAAATTAACGGCCACCCTCGTTAACCCCCATTAGGCGACAATTTAAAGACAACGCCCACTTTTTCCGACTAAAATTCAACCCCAAATTAACGGCCAATTTTGCTTCCTCGAATTCCCAACTAATTCGACCCCAAAATAACGGCCGCCCCCGTTTACCCTGATGTAGCCCACAAAATAAAGACCACACCCTCTTTTTCCACGATTTTCCGACATTCGGGGCCATAAATTACCCTTACCTCTCGCTTTTCTTCGTCGTGGGGCTTCCTTTTGGTGCGCATCGTCGGCGTACTGACTACTTTTCCTTGTTTTCATTTCGCTGCAGAGCAGTTCGTTCCGTGTTTCCTGTTGATGATTCAAGATTTCAATACTATCACAAGGCAATAAGATGTGTCTCACTGAAGGGACAAGAATGGAACTGTAAAATGTATTTTTGAATAAATAAATGGGAAAATAAATATCACAAGTACACTGAAGTTTTTATATAATCTCAACTAATTTTATTATTTCAAAGAATCATTGCTGATATAGCCAAATGCACAAAAATTCAATAAAATAATAGCTTTTGACGTCTGTGAGATAATCAATCGTTGGACATGATGAGCTGATTGGTGGGCATCCGGAGTTTGTGGAAAATCGCCTGTGAAAAATTAAAGGTAGTTAGAAAATAGACAGCAAAAACAATTATGTAAAAAATAGTGTGCCAAAGGTCCCCTTAAAATTTTGGGAATAGCTATATCCTTCTAACTATAGCCAGAAGGATATCAAGAAACAGAAAAAAAAATTCAGTTTACCCAAACAACTTACTAAAGAGGCAGCCCGACACCTTATCCAAGGCGTAAGGGTGAACGAGGGTTAAAGTTGGACCAGGCACACTTTGAAAATTAGAGGGGTTACTTGGTGGGCACTTGGTGAAATGTCAAGGAAGCGCAAGAGGAATGTAACCTTTTAAAAAAATAAAAATTAAAAGTGATTTCAGCATAGTTCATGCTAAAGCGTAATAAACGGACGTAGCGCCTTGAGGGACAAACAGGCCAAGGCACCCCTTGAAATTTTGTAAGGGATTGAGGATGTTGGTCAGGAAGAGAGAGAAGGCAAAGATGGGAGAGTTGAAGGTCACTTAGAAATTAAATAGAAAATAAATATAAAATTTACTTACAAAAATATTAAGCCGGCTGCTTTACTCGATGTGCGTGGGTTGTTGAGGGTGGATTGAAAGTGAGGCACGCTTTGCAAATGATGTTGCTGCTCGGTGGGCTTGCATGGCTTGCTGAAAGTCCAAAGAAGGGCCAGAGGAACGTCACCTATTAAAAAAATAATAATTAAAAGCGATTCAAACAGGAGACGAGCGAAGGAGAAAAAGGTGGACGACGAGCCGAGTGGGACAAACAGGCCAAGGCACCCCTTGAAATTTTGTAAGGGATTGAGGATGTTGGTCAGGAAGAGAGAGAAGGCAAGGAAGGAAGATTTGAAGGTCACCCAGTAATTTAATCACAAATAAATCTAAAATTAATGTGAAAAGGAATGAGCCATCTACGTTAATCTGGGTTTAGGGGGTGGATGAGGGTGGAATTAGTGCAAGGCATGCTTTGAAAATGATGGGGCTGGTGCGAGGGCATGCAAGGATTTGTGAAATGTCAAGGAAGCGCGAGAGGAACGTCACCTATTAAAAAAATAAAAATTAAAAGTGATTTCAGCATAGTTCATGCTAAAGCGTAAATAACGGACGTAGCGCCTTGAGGGTCAAAAAGGCCAAGGCACCCCTTGAAATTTTGTAAGGGATTGAGGATGTTGGTCAGGAAGAGAGAGAAGGCAAAGATGGGAGAGGTGAAGGTCACTTAGAATATAAATAGAAAATAAATATAAAATTTACTTACAAAAATATTAAGCCGGCTGCTTTACTCGATGTGCGTGGGTTGTTGAGGGTGGGTTGAAAGTGAGGCACGCTTTGCAAATGATGTTGCTGCTCGGTGGGCTTGCATGGCTTGCTGAAAAACCAAAGAAGGGCCAGAGGAACGTCACCTGTTAAAAAAAAAAATATTTAAAAGTGATTCAAACAGGAGACGAGCGAAGGAGAAAAAGGTGGACGACGAGCCGAGTGGGACAAACAGGCCAAGGCACCCCTTGAAATTTTGTAAGGGATTGAGGATGTTGGTCAGGAAGAGAGAGAAGGCAAGGAAGGAAGATTTGAAGGTCACCCAGTAATTTAATCACAAATAAATCTAAAATTAATGTGAAAAGGAATGAGCCATCTACGTTAATCTGGGTTTAGGGGGTGGATGAGGGTGGAATTAGTGCAAGGCATGCTTTGAAAATGATGGGGCTGGTGCGTGGGCATGCAAGGATTGGTGAAATGTCAAGGAAGCGCGAGAGGAACGTCACCTATTAAAAAAATAAAAATTAAAAGTGATTTCAGCATAGTTCATGCTAAAGCGTAAATAACGGACGTAGCGCCTTGAGGGTCAAAAGGCCAAGGCACCCCTTGAAATTTTGTAAGGGATTGAGGATGTTGGTCAGGAAGAGAGAGAAGGCAAAGATGGGAGAGGTGAAGGTCACTTAGAATATAAATAGAAAATAAATATAAAATTTACTTACAAAAATATTAAGCCGGCTGCTTTACTCGATGTGCGTGGGTTGTTGAGGGTGGATTGAAAGTGAGGCACGCTTTGCAAATGATGTTGCTGCTCGGTGGGCTTGCATGGCTTGCTGAAAGACCAAAGAAGGGCCAGAGGAACGTCACCTGTTAAAAATATAATATTTAAAAGTGATTCAAACAGGAGACGAGCGAAGGAGAAAAAGGTGGACGACGAGCCGAGTGGGACAAACAGGCCAAGGCACCCCTTGAAATTTTGTAAGGGATTGAGGATGTTGGTCAGGAAGAGAGAGAAGGCAAGGAAGGAAGATTTGAAGGTCACCCAGTAATTTAATCACAAATAAATCTAAAATTAATGTGAAAAGGAATGAGCCATCTACGTTAATCTGGGTTTAGGGGGTGGATGAGGGTGGAATTAGTGCAAGGCACGCTTTGAAAATGATGGGGCTGGTGCGTGGGCATGCAAGGATTGGTGAAATGTCAAGGAAGCGCGAGAGGAACGTCACCTATTAAAAAAATAAAAATTGAAAGTGATTTCAGCATAGTTCATGCTAAAGCGTAAATAACGGACGTAGCGCCTTGAGGGTCAAAAAGGCCAAGGCACCCCTTGAAATTTTGTAAGGGATTGAGGATGTTGGTCAGGAAGAGAGAGAAGGCAAAGATGGGAGAGTCACTTAGAAATTAAATAGAAAATAAATAAAAAATTTACTTACAAAAATATTAAGCCGGCTGCTTTACTCGATGTGCGTGGGTTGTTGAGGGTGGATTGAAAGTGAGGCACGCTTTGCAAATGATGTTGCTGCTCGGTGGGCTTGCATGGCTTGCTGAAAGACCAAAGAAGGGCCAGAGGAACGTCACCTATTAAAAAAATAATAATTAAAAGCGATTCAAACAGGAGACGAGCGAAGGAGAAAAAGGTGGACGACGAGCCGAGTGGGACAAACAGGCCAAGGCACCCCTTGAAATTTTGTAAGGGATTGAGGATGTTGGTCAGGAAGAGAGAGAAGGCAAGGAAGGAAGATTTGAAGGTCACCCAGTAATTTAATCACAAATAAATCTAAAATTAATGTGAAAAGGAATGAGACATCTACGTTAATCTGGGTTTAGGGGGTGGATGAGGGTGGAATTAGTGCAAGGCATGCTTTGAAAATGATGGGGCTGGTGCGTGGGCATGCAAGGATTGGTGAAATGTCAAGGAAGCGCGAGAGGAACGTCACCTATTAAAAAAATAAAAATTAAAAGTGATTTCAGCATAGTTCATGCTAAAGCGTAAATAACGGACGTAGCGCCTTGAGGGTCAAAAAGGCCAAGGCACCCCTTGAAATTTTGTAAGGGATTGAGGATGTTGGTCAGGAAGAGAGAGAAGGCAAAGATGGGAGAGTTGAAGGTCACTTAGAAATTAAATAGAAAATAAATATAAAATTTACTTACAAAAATATTAAGCCGGCTGCTTTACTCGATGTGCGTGGGTTGTTGAGGGTGGATTGAAAGAGAGGCACGCTTAGCAAATGATGTTGCTGCTCGGTGGGCTTGCATGGCTTGCTGAAAGACCAAAGAAGGGCCAGAGGAACGTCACCTGTTAAAAATATAATAATTAAAAGTGATTTAAACAGGAGACGAGCGAAGGAGAAAAAGGTGGACGACGAGCCGAGTGGGACAAACAGGCCAAGGGACCCCTTGAAATTTTGTAAGGGATTGAGGATTTTGGTCAGGAAGAGAGACAAGGCAAGGAAGGCAGATTTGAAGGTCACCCAGTAATTTAATCACAAATAAATCTAAAATTAATGTGAAAAGGAATGAGCCATCTACGTTAATCTGGGTTTAGGGGGTGGATGAGGGTGGAATTAGTGCAAGGCATGCTTTGAAAATGATGGGGCTGGTGCGTGGGCATGCAAGGATTGGTGAAATGTCAAGGAAGCGCGAGAGGAACGTCACCTATTAAAAAAATAAAAATTGAAAGTGATTTCAGCATAGTTCATGCTAAAGCGTAAATAACGGACGTAGCGCCTTGAGGGTCAAAAAGGCCAAGGCACCCCTTGAAATTTTGTAAGGGATTGAGGATGTTGGTCAGGAAGAGAGAGAAGGCAAAGATGGGAGAGTTGAAGGTCACTTAGAAATTAAATAGAAAATAAATAAAAAATTTACTTACAAAAATATTAAGCCGGCTGCTTTACTCGATGTGCGTGGGTTGTTGAGGGTGGATTGAAAGTGAGGCACGCTTTGCAAATGATGTTGCTGCTCGGTGGGCTTGCATGGCTTGCTGAAAGACCAAAGAAGGGCCAGAGGAACGTCACCTATTAAAAAAATAATAATTAAAAGCGATTCAAACAGGAGACGAGCGAAGGAGAAAAAGGTGGACGACGAGCCGAGTGGGACAAACAGGCCAAGGCACCCCTTGAAATTTTGTAAGGGATTGAGGATGTTGGTCAGGAAGAGAGAGAAGGCAAGGAAGGAAGATTTGAAGGTCACCCAGTAATTTAATCACAAATAAATCTAAAATTAATGTGAAAAGGAATGAGCCATCTACGTTAATCTGGGTTTAGGGGGTGGATGAGGGTGGAATTAGTGCAAGGCATGCTTTGAAAATGATGGGGCTGGTGCGTGGGCATGCAAGGATTGGTGAAATGTCAAGGAAGCGCGAGAGGAACGTCACCTATTAAAAAAATAAAAATTAAAAGTGATTTCAGCATAGTTCATGCTAAAGCGTAAATAACGGACGTAGCGCCTTGAGGGTCAAAAAGGCCAAGGCACCCCTTGAAATTTTGTAAGGGATTGAGGATGTTGGTCAGGAAGAGAGAGAAGGCAAAGATGGGAGAGTTGAAGGTCACTTAGAAATTAAATAGAAAATAAATATAAAATTTACTTACAAAAATATTAAGCCGGCTGCTTTACTCGATGTGCGTGGGTTGTTGAGGGTGGATTGAAAGAGAGGCACGCTTAGCAAATGATGTTGCTGCTCGGTGGGCTTGCATGGCTTGCTGAAAGACCAAAGAAGGGCCAGAGGAACGTCACCTGTTAAAAATATAATAATTAAAAGTGATTTAAACAGGAGACGAGCGAAGGAGAAAAAGGTGGACGACGAGCCGAGTGGGACAAACAGGCCAAGGGACCCCTTGAAATTTTGTAAGGGATTGAGGATTTTGGTCAGGAAGAGAGACAAGGCAAGGAAGGCAGATTTGAAGGTCACCCAGTAATTTAATCACAAATAAATCTAAAATTAATGTGAAAAGGAATGAGCCATCTACGTTAATCTGGGTTTAGGGGGTGGATGAGGGTGGAATTAGTGCAAGGCATGCTTTGAAAATGATGGGGCTGGTGCGTGGGCATGCAAGGATTGGTGAAACGTCAAGGAAGCGCGAGAGGAACGTTATTAAAAAAATAAAAATTAAAAGCGATTTCAGCATAGTTCATGCTAAAGCGTAAATAACGGACGTAGCGCCTTTAGGGTCAAAAAGGCCAAGGCACCCCTTGAAATTTTGTAAGGGATTGAGGATGTTGGTCAGGAAGAGAGAGAAGGCAAAGATGGGAGAGTTGAAGGTCACTTAGAAATTAAATAGAAAATAAATAAAAAATTTACTTACAAAAATATTAAGCCGGCTGCTTTACTCGATGTGCGTGGGTTGTTGAGGGTGGATTGAAAGTTAGGCACGCTTTGCAAATGATGTTGCTGCTCGGTGGGCTTGCATGGCTTGCTGAAAGACCAAAGAAGGGCCAGAGGAACGTCACCTGTTAAAAAAATAATAATTAAAAGTGATTCAAACAGGAGACGAGCGAAGGAGAAAAAGGTGGACGACGAGCCGAGTGGCACAAACAGGCCAAGGCACCCCTTGAAATTTTGTAAGGGATTGAGGATGTTGGTCAGGAAGAGAGACAAGGCAAGGAAGGAAGATTTGAAGGTCACCCAGTAATTTAATCACAAATAAATCTAAAATTAATGTGAAAAGGAATGAGCCATCTACGTTAATCTGGGTTTAGGGGGTGGATGAGGGTGGAATTAGTGCAAGGCATGCTTTGAAAATGATGGGGCTGGTGCGTGGGCATGCAAGGATTCGTGAAATGTCAAGGAAGCGCGAGAGGAACGTCACCTATTAAAAAAATAAATATTAAAAGTGATTTCAGCATAGTTCATGCTAAAGCGTAAATAACGGACGTAGCGCCTTGAGGGTCAAAAAGGCCAAGGCACCCCTTGAAATTTTGTAAGGGATTGAGGATGTTGGTCAGGAAGAGAGAGAAGGCAAAGATGGGAGAGTTGAAGGTCACTTAGAAATTAAATAGAAAATAAATATAAAATTTACTTACAAAAATATTAAGCCGGCTGCTTTACTCGATGTGCGTGGGTTGTTGAGGGTGGATTGAAAGTGAGGCACGCTTTGCAAATGATGTTGCTGCTCGGTGGGCTTTCATGGCTTGCTGAAAGACCAAAGAAGGGCCAGAGGAACGTCACCTATTAAAAAAATAATAATTAAAAGCGATTCAAACAGGAGACGAGCGAAGGAGAAAAAGGTGGACGACGAGCCGAGTGGGACAAACAGGCCAAGGCACCCCTTGAAATTTTGTAAGGGATTGAGGATGTTTGTCAGGAAGAGAGAGAAGGCAAGGAAGGAAGATTTGAAGGTCACCCAGTAATTTAATCAAAAATAAATCTAAAATTAATGTGAAAAGGAATGAGCCATCTACGTTAATCTGGGTTTAGGGGGTATGGGTTTAGGACTATGGCAACTTTGTTAAAAGTGTCAAATTTGTAATGCTGAAGTGTCAATACTATGATATGAATGAATATTGGACATGTAAATTTGAATGCCTAAATTTGGAAGAGTGAGACTCAGCTGCAGGGTTTTCGGGGGTGGTTTTCCCCTGCAGTATTTGAGGTGGGATAGTCAAATGCTTGCCCACCCCCGCCAAATTATCAATGGCGTGCGAGCTCCCTCAATCGCTCCCTCAATTACTCACTTATTGAATGTTATAGTTAAAATTTTTTGGAGGTTTTATTTTGCTATTTTATTGACTTGTTGTAAAGACAAATTGGTAATGTATTACATATGTCTAATGCAATAAATTTTGATCTAATCTAATTTACCAGCTCAATTCACCAGCTGGTGAATTAAGCTGGTTAATTCATTTGGTTAATTCACTAGCTCAATTCACCAGCTGATGAGGTTTTTTTTTTATTTTTCAAAATTATTAAAAATTGAAATTTAATTTATAAATAAATTAATTTACTTTTAATTTTTAATTTGAAATTTAAAAAAAAATAAGTGTCACCAGCTGGTGAATTCACAGGCTCAATTCACAAGCTGATGAGGTTTTTTTTTTTAATTATTAAAAAATGAAATATTATTTATAAGTTAAATTTATTTAAATTAATTAAATTTTAATTGTTAAAAAACTATAAAAGGGATTAATATCATAAATATTATATACATAAACTTAAAAATAATTAATTAAATTAATTTTTTTTAATTAAAAAATTAAAAAAAAATTATAGTCACCAGCTGGTGAATTCACCAGCTCAATTAACCAGCTGAATTTAGCTGGTGAATTAAGCTGGTGAATTAAGGTGGTGAATTCACCAGCTAAATACACCAGCAGGTGATGTTTTTTTATTTTTTTAAAATTTTAAAAAATGAAATATATTTTATCAATAAAATTATTTTAAAATATATAAATTTTAATTTTTAAAAAAAGGGATTAATTTTATAAAAATTTTATAAGTAAAATTAATATTAATGACTTCAATAAAATTAATATAAAAAAAAATATAATTTAATTTATAGTTAATTTATTTTCATTATATTAAATTATAAATTTAAAAAAAATTTGAAAAAAGGGATAAATTTTATAAATATTTTAGAAATAAAATTAATATTCATTAATTTAATTCTAATTTTTTTAAATTTGAAAATTTTTAAAAAAAAAATTTGCACCAGCTGGTGATGTTTTTTTATTTTTCTAAAATTTTTAAAAAATGAAATATAATTTATAAATAAAATTATTGTAAATTAATTAAAATTAATTTTTTTAAAATAAAAAAAGGATTAATTTTAGAAATATTTTATAAATAAAATTAGTATTAATGAATGAAATTTTTTTTTATTTTTGAGAATTAAAAAAAAATAATTGTCACCTGCTCTTGAATTCAGTTGGTGAATGCACCAGCTGGTTATTTTTAATTTTTTAAAATTTCCAAAAAATGAAATGTAATTTATAAATAAAATTATTTTAATTTAATTAAATTTTAGATTTATAAAATTTTGAAAAACGGGATTAATTTTATAGATATTTTATACATAAAATCAATATTATTTAATTAATACTTCATTTATATAAATAAAAATAATTTTTCTTATATTTGAGAATTTAAATGGGCTGAAAAAATGAATTAATTTTAAAATAAAAATTCTATGATGTTTTAAAAAGAGTTCTTACCTTTTATTAGTTGCAGGCACCATGGAGAAACTATGAATGCTTTAAAAATGCTGGATGTGCTCCAGGTGAGCCTCTGGCACAAACCCTGGTTTGAAGTCGAGACTGAACGGGATGAAAAAATGAATTAATTTTAAAATAAAAATTTAATATGTTTTTAAATTGAGTTCTTACCTCTCATAGCCAGCAGGCACCAAGCAGAATCGTTGAGTGGCTTGAAAAGAGCTGGATGTGCTCCAGGGGGAGAGCAGTGTACATTCCGACATAATGAAAGGGGGCTACCTTCGGAGGAAATGGTACGAATGCGCTGAAAATACAAATACAAATGAATTAATATTTTTTAATTAAAACATTTAAGCCCCATCGAATTCATGACTAATTCGACCCCAAATTAACGGCCACCCTCGTTGACCCCCATTTGGCCGACAAATTACAGACCACGCCCCCTTTTTCCAATTAAATTCAAACCCCAATCAACGGCCACCTTTGCCCCCTCGAATTCCCGACTAATTCGACCCCAAATTAAGGGCCACCCTCGTTGAACCCCATTTAGCCGACAAATTACAGACTGCGCCCCCTTTTTCCGACTAAAATTCAACCCCAAATTAACGCCCACTTTTGCCCCCTCGAATTCCCGACTAATTCGACCCCAAAATAACGGCCGCCCCCGTTTACCCCGATGTAGCCCACAAAATAAAGACCACACCCCCTTTTTCCACGATTTTCCGACATTCGGGGCCATAAATTACCCTTACCTCACGCTTTTCTTCGTCGTGGGGCTTCCTTTTGGTGCGCATCGTCGGCGTGCTGCCTACTTTTCCTTGTTTTCATTTCGCAGCAGTTCGTTCCGCGTTCGTTCCATGTTTCCTGTTGATGGGGGACCTGCTCTCTGTAGGGGAGGGTGCCACGCCCCCTTCCCCTTGCTTGTTGACGGAACAATTTTCTTCGCCTTTTACCTTTAAGATGTGAAATATAATTAATAAATAAAATTATTTTAAACTGATTAAATTTTATTTTTATAAAATTTCAAAAACGGGATTGATTTTGGAAATATTTTACACATAAAATTAATATTAATTAATTTATACTTAATTAATATAAATTAAAATAAATTTATTTCAATTAGTGTATTAAAAAAAAATAAATTGTCACCAGCTTGTGAAATCAAGAGCTAAATTCACCAGCGGTTGTTTTTTTTTTTTGTTAAAATTTTTATAAATTGAAATTTAATATATAATTTGTAAATAAAATTAATTTAATTTAATTTTAATTCTTAAAATTAAAAAAAGGTGTAATTTTATAATTATTTTATAAATAAAATTAATATTAATATACTTAATTTAAATTTGTTTAAATTCTTAAACTTAAAAAAAAAAATAATTGTCACCAGCTGGAGAATTCACCAGCTCAATTCACCATTTGAATTAAAAAGCTCGCGGCTAGCCGAATACTTTACTCCATTGTAATCTGGGGTGGCTCTACACACATGAAAGATGTTTTTCTAGCGCAGAAGCGAGTAATAAGAGCAATGGCTGGTGTTCAATACTGGAGAAGTAACTCGGCGCTAGACTCATGTAGACCACTATTTGTGAAATTTGGAGTTCTTACAGTCTATTCATTATATATTTTGGAGTGCGTTAAGTTTGTGCGTAAATTTCCTGAAAAGTTTAATCGGAATCGGGATGTTCCAGGTGTAGTAGTGCGAACTACGCGTGCTACCAGCTACGTCGACACTGATTTGTTTGTAAGGCCAAGCTCACTAAATTGCGTAAATGAGAGTCCGGAGATAATGATTGCCAGAGTATATAATAAACTACCTAATGTACTGAAAGAAATATCTGACTATGGCAACTTTGTTAAAAGTGTCAAATTTGTAATGCTGAAGTGTCAATACTATGATATGAATGAATATTGGACATGTAAATTTGAATGCCTAAATTTGGAAGAGTGAGACTCAGCTGCAGGGTTTTCGGGGGTGGTTTTCCCCTGCAGTATTTGAGGTGGGATAGTCAAATGCTTGCCCACCCCCGCCAAATTATCAATGGCGTGCGAGCTCCCTCAATCGCTCCCTCAATTACTCACTTATTGAATGTTATAGTTAAAATTTTTTGGAGGTTTTATTTTGCTATTTTATTGACTTGTTGTAAAGACAAATTGGTGATGTATTACATATGTCTAATGCAATAAATTTTGATCTAATCTAATTTACCAGCTCAATTCACCAGCTGGTGAATTAAGCTGGTTAATTCATTGGTTAATTCACTAGCTCAATTCACCAGCTGATGAGGTTTTTTTTTTATTTTTCAAAATTATTAAAAATTGAAATTTAATTTATAAATAAATTAATTTACTTTTAATTTTTAATTTGAAATTTAAAAAAAAAATAAGTGTCACCAGCTGGTGAATTCACAGGCTCAATTCACAAGCTGATGAGGTTTTTTTTTTAATTATTAAAAAATGAAATATTATTTATAAGTTAAATTTATTTAAATTAATTAAATTTTAATTGTTAAAAAACAATAAAAGGGATTAAAATCATAAATATTATATACATAAACTTAAAAATAATTAATTAAATTAATTTTTTTTAATTAAAAAATTAAAAAAAAATTATAGTCACCAGCTGGTGAATTCACCAGCTCAATTAACCAGCTGAATTTAGCTGGTGAATTAAGCTGGTGAATTAAGGTGGTGAATTCACCAGCTAAATACACCAGCAGGTGATGTTTTTTTATTTTTTTAAAATTTTAAAAAATGAAATATATTTTATCAATAAAATTATTTTAAAATATATAAATTTTAATTTTTAAAAAAAGGGATTAATTATATAAAAATTTTATAAGTAAAATTAATATTAATGACTTCAATTAAATTTATAAAAAAAAAATATAATTTAATTTATAGTTAATTTATTTTCATTATATTAAATTATAAATTTAAAAAAAATTTGAAAAAAGGGATAAATTTTATAAATATTTTAGAAATAAAATTAATATTCATTAATTTAATTCTAATTTTTTTAAATTTGAAAATTTTTTAAAAAAAATTTGCACCAGCTGGTGATGTTTTTTTATTTTTCTAAAATTTTTAAAAAATGAAATATAATTTATAAATAAAATTATTGTAAATTAATTAAAATTAATTTTTTAAAAATAAAAAAAGGATTAATTTTAGAAATATTTTATAAATAAAATTAGTATTAATGAATGAAATTTTTTTTATTTTTGAGAATTAAAAAAAAATAATTGTCACCTGCTCTTGAATTCAGTTGGTGAATGCACCAGCTGGTTATTTTTAATTTTTTAAAATTTCCAAAAAATGAAATGTAATTTATAAATAAAATTATTTTAATTTAATTAAATTTTAGATTTATAAAATTTTGAAAAACGGGATTAATTTTATAGATATTTTATACCTTATCCAAGGCGTAAGGGTGAAAGAGGGTTAAAGTTGGACCAGGCATACTTTGAAAATTAGAGGGGTTACTTGGTGGGCACTTGGTGAAATGTCAAGGAAGCGCAAGAGGAATGTAACCTTTTAAAAAAATAAAAATTAAAAGTGATTTCAGCATAGTTCATGCTAAAGCGTAATAAACGGACGTAGCGCCTTGAGGGTCAAAAAGGCCAAGGCACTCCTTGAAATTTTGTAATGGATTGAGGATGTTGGTCAGGAAGAGAGAGAAGGCAAAGATGGGAGAGTTGAAGGTCACTTAGAAATTAAATAGAAAATAAATATAAAATTTACTTACAAAAATATTAAGCAGGCTGCTTTACTCGATGTGAGTGGGTTGTTGAGGGTGGATTGAAAGTGAGGCACGCTTTGCGCATGATGTTGCTGCTCGGTGGGCTTGCATGGCTTGCTGAAAGACCAAAAAAGGGCCAGAGGAACGTCACCTATTAAAAAAATAAAATTAAAAGTGATTTCAGCATAGTTCATGCTAAAGCGTAAATAACGGACGTAGCGCCTTGAGTGTCAAAAAGGCCAAGGCACCCCTTGAAATTTTGTAAGGGATTGAGGATGTTGGTCAGGAAGAGAGAGAAGGCAAAGATGGGAGAGTTGAAGGTCACTTAGAAATTAAATAGAAAATAAATATAAAATTTACTTACAAAAATATTAAGCCGGCTGCTTTACTCGATGTGCGTGGGTTGTTGAGGGTGGATTGAAAGTGAGGCACGCTTTGCAAATGATGTTGCTGCTCGGTGGGCTTGCATGGCTTGCTGAAAGACCAAAGAAGGGCCAGAGGAACGTCACCTATTAAAAAAATAATAATTAAAAGCGATTCAAACAGGAGACGAGCGAAGGAGAATAAGGTGGACGACGAGCCGAGTGGGACAAACAGGCCAAGGCACCCCTTGAAATTTTGTAAGGGATTGAGGATGTTGGTCAGGAAGAGAGAGAAGGCAAGGAAGGAAGATTTGAAGGTCACCCAGTAATTTAATCACAAATAAATCTAAAATTAATGTGAAAAGGAATGAGCCATCTACGTTAATCTGGGTTTAGGGGGTGGATGAGGGTGGAATTAGTGCAAGGCATGCTTTGAAAATGATGGGGCTGGTGCGTGGGCATGCAAGGATTGGTGAAACGTCAAGGAAGCGCGAGAGGAACGTCACCTATTAAAAAAATAAAAATTAAAAGTGATTTCAGCATAGTTCATGCTAAAGCGTAAATAACGGACGTAGCGCCTTGAGGGTCAAAAAGGCCAAGGCACCCCTTGAAATTTTGTAAGGGATTGAGGATGTTGGTCAGGAAGAGAGAGAAGGCAAAGATGGGAGAGTTGAAGGTCACTTAGAAATTAAATAGAAAATAAATATAAAATTTACTTACAAAAATATTAAGCCCGCTGCTTTACTCGATGTGCGTGGGTTGTTGAGGGTGGATTGAAAGTTAGGCACGCTTTGCAAATGATGTTGCTGCTCGGTGGGCTTGCATGGCTTGCTGAAAGACCAAAGAAGGGCCAGAGGAACGTCACCTGTTAAAAAAATAATAATTAAAAGTGATTCAAACAGGAGACGAGCGAAGGAGAAAAAGGTGGACGATGAGCCGAGTGGCACAAACAGGCCAAGGCACCCCTTGAAATTTTGTAAGGGATTGAGGATGTTGGTCAGGAAGAGAGACAAGGCAAGGAAGGAAGATTTGAAGGTCACCCAGTAATTTAATCACAAATAAATCTAAAATTAATGTGAAAAGGAATGAGCCATCTACGTTAATCTGGGTTTAGGGGGTGGATGAGGGTGGAATTAGTGCAAGGCATGCTTTGAAAATGATGGGGCTGGTGCGTGGGCATGCAAGGATTCGTGAAATGTCAAGGAAGCGCGAGAGGAACGTCACCTATTAAAAAAATAAAAATTAAAAGTGATTTCAGCATAGTTCATGCTAAAGCGTAAATAACGGACGTAGCGCCTTGAGGGTCAAAAAGGCCAAGGCACCCCTTGAAATTTTGTAAGGGATTGAGGATGTTGGTCAGGAAGAGAGAGAAGGCAAAGATGGGAGAGTTGAAGGTCACTTAGAAATTAAATAGAAAATAAATATAAAATTTACTTACAAAAATATTAAGCCGGCTGCTTTACTCGATGTGCGTGGGTTGTTGAGGGTGGATTGAAAGTGAGGCACGCTTTGCAAATGATGTTGCTGCTCGGTGGGCTTGCATGGCTTGCTGAAAGACCAAAGAAGGGCCAGAGGAACGTCACCTATTAAAAAAATAATAATTAAAAGCGATTCAAACAGGAGACGAGCGAAGGAGAAAAAGGTGGACGACGAGCCGAGTGGGACAAACAGGCCAAGGCACCCCTTGAAATTTTGTAAGGGATTGAGGATGTTTGTCAGGAAGAGAGAGAAGGCAAGGAAGGAAGATTTGAAGGTCACCCAGTAATTTAATCAAAAATAAATCTAAAATTAATGTGAAAAGGAATGAGCCATCTACGTTAATCTGGGTTTAGGGGGTATGGGTTTAGGACTATGGCAACTTTGTTAAAAGTGTCAAATTTTAATGCTGAAGTGTCAATACTATGATATGAATGAATATTGGACATGTAAATTTGAATGCCTAAATTTGGAAGAGTGAGACTCAGCTGCAGGGTTTTCGGGGGTGGTTTTCCCCTGCAGTATTTGAGGTGGGATAGTCAAATGCTTGCCCACCCCCGCCAAATTATCAATGGCGTGCGAGCTCCCTCAATCGCTCCCTCAATTACTCACTTATTGAATGTTATAGTTAAAATTTTTTGGAGGTTTTATTTTGCTATTTTATTGACTTGTTGTAAAGACAAATTGGTGATGTATTACATATGTCTAATGCAATAAATTTTGATCTAATCTAATTTACCAGCTCAATTCACCAGCTGGTGAATTAAGCTGGTTAATTCATTTGGTTAATTCACTAGCTCAATTCACCAGCTGATGAGGTTTTTTTTTTAATTTTCAAAATTATTAAAAATTGAAATTTAATTTATAAATAAATTAATTTACTTTTAATTTTTAATTTGAAATTTAAAAAAAAATAAGTGTCACCAGCTGGTGAATTCACAGGCTCAATTCACAAGCTGATGAGGTTTTTTTTTTTAATTATTAAAAAATGAAATATTATTTATAAGTTAAATTTATTTAAATTAATTAAATTTTAATTGTTAAAAAACTATAAAAGGGATTAATATCATAAATATTATATACATAAACTTAAAAATAATTAATTAAATTAATTTTTTTTAATTAAAAAATTAAAAAAAAATTATAGTCACCAGCTGGTGAATTCACCAGCTCAATTAACCAGCTGAATTTAGCTGGTGAATTAAGCTGGTGAATTAAGGTGGTGAATTCACCAGCTAAATACACCAGCAGGTGATGTTTTTTTATTTTTTTAAAATTTTAAAAAATGAAATATATTTTATCAATAAAATTATTTTAAAATATATAAATTTTAATTTTTAAAAAAAGGGATTAATTTTATAAAAATTTTATAAGTAAAATTAATATTAATGACTTCAATAAAATTAATATAAAAAAAAATATAATTTAATTTATAGTTAATTTATTTTCATTATATTAAATTATAAATTTAAAAAAAATTTGAAAAAAGGGATAAATTTTATAAATATTTTAGAAATAAAATTAATATTCATTAATTTAATTCTAATTTTTTTAAATTTGAAAATTTTTAAAAAAAAAATTTGCACCAGCTGGTGATGTTTTTTTATTTTTCTAAAATTTTTAAAAAATGAAATATAATTTATAAATAAAATTATTGTAAATTAATTAAAATTAATTTTTTTAAAATAAAAAAAGGATTAATTTTAGAAATATTTTATAAATAAAATTAGTATTAATGAATGAAATTTTTTTTATTTTTGAGAATTAAAAAAAAATAATTGTCACCTGCTCTTGAATTCAGTTGGTGAATGCACCAGCTGGTTATTTTTAATTTTTTAAAATTTCCAAAAAATGAAATGTAATTTATAAATAAAATTATTTTAATTTAATTAAATTTTAGATTTATAAAATTTTGAAAAATGGGATTAATTTTATAGATATTTTATACATAAAATCAATATTATTTAATTAATACTTCATTTATATAAATAAAAATAATTTTTCTTATATTTGAGAATTTAAATGGGCTGAAAAAATGAATTAATTTTAAAATAAAAATTCTATGATGTTTTAAAAAGAGTTCTTACCTTTTATTAGTTGCAGGCACCATGGAGAAACTATGAATGCTTTAAAAATGCTGGATGTGCTCCAGGTGAGCCTCTGGCACAAACCCTGGTTTGAAGTCGAGACTGAACGGGATGAAAAAATGAATTAATTTTAAAATAAAAATTTAATATGTTTTTAAATTGAGTTCTTACCTCTCATAGCCAGCAGGCACCAAGCAGAATCGTTGAGTGGCTTGAAAAGAGCTGGATGTGCTCCAGGGGGAGAGCAGTGTACATTCCGACATAATGAAAGGGGGCTACCTTCGGAGGAAATGGTACGAATGCGCTGAAAATACAAATACAAATGAATTAATATTTTTTAATTAAAACATTTAAGCCCCATCGAATTCATGACTAATTCGACCCCAAATTAACGGCCACCCTCGTTGACCCCCATTTGGCCGACAAATTACAGACCACGCCCCCTTTTTCCAATTAAATTCAAACCCCAATCAACGGCCACCTTTGCCCCCTCGAATTCCCGACTAATTCGACCCCAAATTAAGGGCCACCCTCGTTGAACCCCATTTAGCCGACAAATTACAGACTGCGCCCCCTTTTTCCGACTAAAATTCAACCCCAAATTAACGCCCACTTTTGCCCCCTCGAATTCCCGACTAATTCGACCCCAAAATAACGGCCGCCCCCGTTTACCCCGATGTAGCCCACAAAATAAAGACCACACCCCCTTTTTCCACGATTTTCCGACATTCGGGGCCATAAATTACCCTTACCTCACGCTTTTCTTCGTCGTGGGGCTTCCTTTTGGTGCGCATCGTCGGCGTGCTGCCTACTTTTCCTTGTTTTCATTTCGCAGCAGTTCGTTCCGCGTTCGTTCCATGTTTCCTGTTGATGGGGGACCTGCTCTCTGTAGGGGAGGGTGCCACGCCCCCTTCCCCTTGCTTGTTGACGGAACAATTTTCTTCGCCTTTTACCTTTAAGATGTGAAATATAATTAATAAATAAAATTATTTTAAACTGATTAAATTTTATTTTTATAAAATTTCAAAAACGGGATTGATTTTGGAAATATTTTACACATAAAATTAATATTAATTAATTTATACTTAATTAATATAAATTAAAATAAATTTATTTCAATTAGTGTATTAAAAAAAAATAAATTGTCACCAGCTTGTGAAATCAAGAGCTAAATTCACCAGCGGTTGTTTTTTTTTTTTGTTAAAATTTTTATAAATTGAAATTTAATATATAATTTGTAAATAAAATTAATTTAATTTAATTTTAATTCTTAAAATTAAAAAAAGGTGTAATTTTATAATTATTTTATAAATAAAATTAATATTAATATACTTAATTTAAATTTGTTTAAATTCTTAAACTTAAAAAAAAAAAATAATTGTCACCAGCTGGAGAATTCACCAGCTCAATTCACCATTTGAATTAAAAAGCTCGCGGCTAGCCGAATACTTTACTCCATTGTAATCTGGGGTGGCTCTACACACATGAAAGATGTTTTTCTAGCGCAGAAGCGAGTAATAAGAGCAATGGCTGGTGTTCAATACTGGAGAAGTAACTCGGCGCTAGACTCATGTAGACCACTATTTGTGAAATTTGGAGTTCTTACAGTCTATTCATTATATATTTTGGAGTGCGTTAAGTTTGTGCGTAAATTTCCTGAAAAGTTTAATCGGAATCGGGATGTTCCAGGTGTAGTAGTGCGAACTACGCGTGCTACCAGCTACGTCGACACTGATTTGTTTGTAAGGCCAAGCTCACTAAATTGCGTAAATGAGAGTCCGGAGATAATGATTGCCAGAGTATATAATAAACTACCTAATGTACTGAAAGAAATATCTGACTATGGCAACTTTGTTAAAAGTGTCAAATTTGTAATGCTGAAGTGTCAATACTATGATATGAATGAATATTGGACATGTAAATTTGAATGCCTAAATTTGGAAGAGTGAGACTCAGCTGCAGGGTTTTCGGGGGTGGTTTTCCCCTGCAGTATTTGAGGTGGGATAGTCAAATGCTTGCCCACCCCCGCCAAATTATCAATGGCGTGCGAGCTCCCTCAATCGCTCCCTCAATTACTCACTTATTGAATGTTATAGTTAAAATTTTTTGGAGGTTTTATTTTGCTATTTTATTGACTTGTTGTAAAGACAAATTGGTGATGTATTACATATGTCTAATGCAATAAATTTTGATCTAATCTAATTTACCAGCTCAATTCACCAGCTGGTGAATTAAGCTGGTTAATTCATTGGTTAATTCACTAGCTCAATTCACCAGCTGATGAGGTTTTTTTTTTATTTTTCAAAATTATTAAAAATTGAAATTTAATTTATAAATAAATTAATTTACTTTTAATTTTTAATTTGAAATTTAAAAAAAAAATAAGTGTCACCAGCTGGTGAATTCACAGGCTCAATTCACAAGCTGATGAGGTTTTTTTTTTAATTATTAAAAAATGAAATATTATTTATAAGTTAAATTTATTTAAATTAATTAAATTTTAATTGTTAAAAAACAATAAAAGGGATTAAAATCATAAATATTATATACATAAACTTAAAAATAATTAATTAAATTAATTTTTTTTAATTAAAAAATTAAAAAAAAATTATAGTCACCAGCTGGTGAATTCACCAGCTCAATTAACCAGCTGAATTTAGCTGGTGAATTAAGCTGGTGAATTAAGGTGGTGAATTCACCAGCTAAATACACCAGCAGGTGATGTTTTTTTATTTTTTTAAAATTTTAAAAAATGAAATATATTTTATCAATAAAATTATTTTAAAATATATAAATTTTAATTTTTAAAAAAAGGGATTAATTATATAAAAATTTTATAAGTAAAATTAATATTAATGACTTCAATTAAATTTATAAAAAAAAAAATATAATTTAATTTATAGTTAATTTATTTTCATTATATTAAATTATAAATTTAAAAAAAATTTGAAAAAAGGGATAAATTTTATAAATATTTTAGAAATAAAATTAATATTCATTAATTTAATTCTAATTTTTTTAAATTTGAAAATTTTTTAAAAAAAATTTGCACCAGCTGGTGATGTTTTTTTATTTTTCTAAAATTTTTAAAAAATGAAATATAATTTATAAATAAAATTATTGTAAATTAATTAAAATTAATTTTTTAAAAATAAAAAAAGGATTAATTTTAGAAATATTTTATAAATAAAATTAGTATTAATGAATGAAATTTTTTTTATTTTTGAGAATTAAAAAAAAATAATTGTCACCTGCTCTTGAATTCAGTTGGTGAATGCACCAGCTGGTTATTTTTAATTTTTTAAAATTTCCAAAAAATGAAATGTAATTTATAAATAAAATTATTTTAATTTAATTAAATTTTAGATTTATAAAATTTTGAAAAACGGGATTAATTTTATAGATATTTTATACCTTATCCAAGGCGTAAGGGTGAAAGAGGGTTAAAGTTGGACCAGGCATACTTTGAAAATTAGAGGGGTTACTTGGTGGGCACTTGGTGAAATGTCAAGGAAGCGCAAGAGGAATGTAACCTTTTAAAAAAATAAAAATTAAAAGTGATTTCAGCATAGTTCATGCTAAAGCGTAATAAACGGACGTAGCGCCTTGAGGGTCAAAAAGGCCAAGGCACTCCTTGAAATTTTGTAATGGATTGAGGATGTTGGTCAGGAAGAGAGAGAAGGCAAAGATGGGAGAGTTGAAGGTCACTTAGAAATTAAATAGAAAATAAATATAAAATTTACTTACAAAAATATTAAGCAGGCTGCTTTACTCGATGTGAGTGGGTTGTTGAGGGTGGATTGAAAGTGAGGCACGCTTTGCGCATGATGTTGCTGCTCGGTGGGCTTGCATGGCTTGCTGAAAGACCAAAAAAGGGCCAGAGGAACGTCACCTATTAAAAAAATAAAATTAAAAGTGATTTCAGCATAGTTCATGCTAAAGCGTAAATAACGGACGTAGCGCCTTGAGTGTCAAAAAGGCCAAGGCACCCCTTGAAATTTTGTAAGGGATCGAGGATGTTGGTCAGGAAGAGAGAGAAGGCAAAGATGGGAGAGTTGAAGGTCACTTAGAAATTAAATAGAAAATAAATATAAAATTTACTTACAAAAATATTAAGACGGCTGCTTTACTCGATGTGCGTGGGTTGTTGAGGGTGGCTTGAAAGTGAGGCACGCTTAGCAAATGATGTTGCTGCTCGGTGGGCTTGCATGGCTTGCTGAAAGACCAAAGAAGGGCCAGAGGAACGTCACCTGTTAAAAATATAATAATTAAAAGTGATTTAAACAGGAGACGAGCGAAGGAGAAAAAGGTGGACGACGAGCCGAGTGGGACAAACAGGCCAAGGGACCCCTTGAAATTTTGTAAGGGATTGAGGATGTTGGTCAGGAAGAGAGACAAGGCAAGGAAGGAAGATTTGAAGGTCACCCAGTAATTTAATCACAAATAAATCTAAAATTAATGTGAAAAGGAATGAGCCATCTACGTTAATCTGGGTTTAGGGGGTGGATGAGGGTGGAATTAGTGCAAGGCATGCTTTGAAAATGATGGGGCTGGTGCGTGGGCATGCAAGGATTGGTGAAATGTCAAGGAAGCGCGAGAGGAACGTCACCTATTAAAAAAATAAAAATTAAAAGTGATTTCAGCATAGTTCATGCTAAAGCGTAAATAACGGACGTAGCGCCTTGAGGGTCAAAAAGGCCAAGGCACCCCTTGAAATTTTGTAAGGGATTGAGGATGTTGGTCAGGAAGAGAGAGAAGGCAAAGATGGGAGAGTTGAAGGTCACTTAGAAATTAAATAGAAAATAAATTAAAAATTTACTTACAAAAATATTAAGCCGGCTGCTTTACTCGATGTGCGTGGGTTGTTGAGGGTGGATTGAAAGTGAGGCACGCTTTGCAAATGATGTTGCTGCTCGGTGGGCTTGCATGGCTTGCTGAAAGACCAAAGAAGGGCCAGAGGAACGTCACCTATTAAAAAAATAATAATTAAAAGCGATTCAAACAGGAGACGAGCGAAGGAGAATAAGGTGGACGACGAGCCGAGTGGGACAAACAGGCCAAGGCACCCCTTGAAATTTTGTAAGGGATTGAGGATGTTGGTCAGGAAGAGAGAGAAGGCAAGGAAGGAAGATTTGAAGGTCACCCAGTAATTTAATCACAAATAAATCTAAAATTAATGTGAAAAGGAATGAGCCATCTACGTTAATCTGGGTTTAGGGGGTGGATGAGGGTGGAATTAGTGCAAGGCATGCTTTGAAAATGATGGGGCTGGTGCGTGGGCATGCAAGGATTGGTGAAACGTCAAGGAAGCGCGAGAGGAACGTCACCTATTAAAAAAATAAAAATTAAAAGTGATTTCAGCATAGTTCATGCTAAAGCGTAAATAACGGACGTAGCGCCTTTAGGGTCAAAAAGGCCAAGGCACCCCTTGAAATTTTGTAAGGGATTGAGGATGTTGGTCAGGAAGAGAGAGAAGGCAAAGATGGGAGAGTTGAAGGTCACTTAGAAATTAAATAGAAAATAAATATAAAATTTACTTACAAAAATATTAAGCCCGCTGCTTTACTCGATGTGCGTGGGTTGTTGAGGGTGGATTGAAAGTTAGGCACGCTTTGCAAATGATGTTGCTGCTCGGTGGGCTTGCATGGCTTGCTGAAAGACCAAAGAAGGGCCAGAGGAACGTCACCTGTTAAAAAAATAATAATTAAAAGTGATTCAAACAGGAGACGAGCGAAGGAGAAAAAGGTGGACGATGAGCCGAGTGGCACAAACAGGCCAAGGGACCCCTTGAAATTTTGTAAGGGATTGAGGATGTTGGTCAGGAAGAGAGACAAGGCAAGGAAGGAAGATTTGAAGGTCACCCAGTAATTTAATCACAAATAAATCTAAAATTAATGTGAAAAGGAATGAGCCATCTACGTTAATCTGGGTTTAGGGGGTGGATGAGGGTGGAATTAGTGCAAGGCATGCTTTGAAAATGATGGGGCTGGTGCGTGGGCATGCAAGGATTCGTGAAATGTCAAGGAAGCGCGAGAGGAACGTCACCTATTAAAAAAATAAAAATTAAAAGTGATTTCAGCATAGTTCATGCTAAAGCGTAAATAACGGACGTAGCGCCTTGAGGGTCAAAAAGGCCAAGGCACCCCTTGAAATTTTGTAAGGGATTGAGGATGTTGGTCAGGAAGAGAGAGAAGGCAAAGATGGGAGAGTTGAAGGTCACTTAGAAATTAAATAGAAAATAAATATAAAATTTACTTACAAAAATATTAAGCCGGCTGCTTTACTCGATGTGCGTGGGTTGTTGAGGGTGGATTGAAAGTGAGGCACGCTTTGCAAATGATGTTGCTGCTCGGTGGGCTTGCATGGCTTGCTGAAAGACCAAAGAAGGGCCAGAGGAACGTCACCTATTAAAAAAATAATAATTAAAAGCGATTCAAACAGGAGACGAGCGAAGGAGAAAAAGGTGGACGACGAGCCGAGTGGGACAAACAGGCCAAGGCACCCCTTGAAATTTTGTAAGGGATTGAGGATGTTTGTCAGGAAGAGAGAGAAGGCAAGGAAGGAAGATTTGAAGGTCACCCAGTAATTTAATCAAAAATAAATCTAAAATTAATGTGAAAAGGAATGAGCCATCTACGTTAATCTGGGTTTAGGGGGTATGGGTTTAGGACTATGGCAACTTTGTTAAAAGTGTCAAATTTTAATGCTGAAGTGTCAATACTATGATATGAATGAATATTGGACATGTAAATTTGAATGCCTAAATTTGGAAGAGTGAGACTCAGCTGCAGGGTTTTCGGGGGTGGTTTTCCCCTGCAGTATTTGAGGTGGGATAGTCAAATGCTTGCCCACCCCCGCCAAATTATCAATGGCGTGCGAGCTCCCTCAATCGCTCCCTCAATTACTCACTTATTGAATGTTATAGTTAAAATTTTTTGGAGGTTTTATTTTGCTATTTTATTGACTTGTTGTAAAGACAAATTGGTGATGTATTACATATGTCTAATGCAATAAATTTTGATCTAATCTAATTTACCAGCTCAATTCACCAGCTGGTGAATTAAGCTGGTTAATTCATTTGGTTAATTCACTAGCTCAATTCACCAGCTGATGAGGTTTTTTTTTTATTTTTCAAAATTATTAAAAATTGAAATTTAATTTATAAATAAATTAATTTACTTTTAATTTTTAATTTGAAATTTAAAAAAAAAATAAGTGTCACCAGCTGGTGAATTCACAGGCTCAATTCACAAGCTGATGAGGTTTTTTTTTTAATTATTAAAAAATGAAATATTATTTATAAGTTAAATTTATTTAAATTAATTAAATTTTAATTGTTAAAAAACTATAAAAGGGATTAATATCATAAATATTATATACATAAACTTAAAAATAATTAATTAAATTAATTTTTTTTAATTAAAAAATTAAAAAAAAATTATAGTCACCAGCTGGTGAATTCACCAGCTCAATTAACCAGCTGAATTTAGCTGGTGAATTAAGCTGGTGAATTAAGGTGGTGAATTCACCAGCTAAATACACCAGCAGGTGATGTTTTTTTATTTTTTTAAAATTTTAAAAAATGAAATATATTTTATCAATAAAATTATTTTAAAATATATAAATTTTAATTTTTAAAAAAAGGGATTAATTATATAAAAATTTTATAAGTAAAATTAATATTAATGACTTCAATTAAATTTATAAAAAAAAAAATATAATTTAATTTATAGTTAATTTATTTTCATTATATTAAATTATAAATTTAAAAAAAATTTGAAAAAAGGGATAAATTTTATAAATATTTTAGAAATAAAATTAATATTCATTAATTTAATTCTAATTTTTTTAAATTTGAAAATTTTTTAAAAAAAATTTGCACCAGCTGGTGATGTTTTTTTATTTTTCTAAAATTTTTAAAAAATGAAATATAATTTATAAATAAAATTATTGTAAATTAATTAAAATTAATTTTTTAAAAAATAAAAAAAGGATTAATTTTAGAAATATTTTATAAATAAAATTAGTATTAATGAATGAAATTTTTTTTATTTTTGAGAATTAAAAAAAAATAATTGTCACCTGCTCTTGAATTCAGTTGGTGAATGCACCAGCTGGTTATTTTTAATTTTTTAAAATTTCCAAAAAATGAAATGTAATTTATAAATAAAATTATTTTAATTTAATTAAATTTAAGATTCATAAAATTTTGAAAAACGGGATTAATTTTATAGATATTTTATACCTTATCCAAGGCGTAAGGGTGAAAGAGGGTTAAAGTTGGACCAGGCATACTTTGAAAATTAGAGGGGTTACTTGGTGGGCACTTGGTGAAATGTCAAGGAAGCGCAAGAGGAATGTAACCTTTTAAAAAAATAAAAATTAAAAGTGATTTCAGCATAGTTCATGCTAAAGCGTAATAAACGGACGTAGCGCCTTGAGGGTCAAAAAGGCCAAGGCACTCCTTGAAATTTTGTAATGGATTGAGGATGTTGGTCAGGAAGAGAGAGAAGGCAAAGATGGGAGAGTTGAAGGTCACTTAGAAATTAAATAGAAAATAAATATAAAATTTACTTACAAAAATATTAAGCAGGCTGCTTTACTCGATGTGAGTGGGTTGTTGAGGGTGGATTGAAAGTGAGGCACGCTTTGCGCATGATGTTGCTGCTCGGTGGGCTTGCATGGCTTGCTGAAAGACCAAAAAAGGGCCAGAGGAACGTCACCTATTAAAAAAATAAAATTAAAAGTGATTTCAGCATAGTTCATGCTAAAGCGTAAATAACGGACGTAGCGCCTTGAGTGTCAAAAAGGCCAAGGCACCCCTTGAAATTTTGTAAGGGATTGAGGATGTTGGTCAGGAAGAGAGAGAAGGCAAAGATGGGAGAGTTGAAGGTCACTTAGAAATTAAATAGAAAATAAATATAAAATTTACTTACAAAAATATTAAGACGGCTGCTTTACTCGATGTGCGTGGGTTGTTGAGGGTGGCTTGAAAGTGAGGCACGCTTAGCAAATGATGTTGCTGCTCGGTGGGCTTGCATGGCTTGCTGAAAGACCAAAGAAGGGCCAGAGGAACGTCACCTGTTAAAAATATAATAATTAAAAGTGATTTAAACAGGAGACGAGCGAAGGAGAAAAAGGTGGACGACGAGCCGAGTGGGACAAACAGGCCAAGGGACCCCTTGAAATTTTGTAAGGGATTGAGGATGTTGGTCAGGAAGAGAGACAAGGCAAGGAAGGAAGATTTGAAGGTCACCCAGTAATTTAATCACAAATAAATCTAAAATTAATGTGAAAAGGAATGAGCCATCTACGTTAATCTGGGTTTAGGGGGTGGATGAGGGTGGAATTAGTGCAAGGCATGCTTTGAAAATGATGGGGCTGGTGCGTGGGCATGCAAGGATTGGTGAAATGTCAAGGAAGCGCGAGAGGAACGTCACCTATTAAAAAAATAAAAATTAAAAGTGATTTCAGCATAGTTCATGCTAAAGCGTAAATAACGGACGTAGCGCCTTGAGGGTCAAAAAGGCCAAGGCACCCCTTGAAATTTTGTAAGGGATTGAGGATGTTGGTCAGGAAGAGAGAGAAGGCAAAGATGGGAGAGTTGAAGGTCACTTAGAAATTAAATAGAAAATAAATTAAAAATTTACTTACAAAAATATTAAGCCGGCTGCTTTACTCGATGTGCGTGGGTTGTTGAGGGTGGATTGAAAGTGAGGCACGCTTTGCAAATGATGTTGCTGCTCGGTGGGCTTGCATGGCTTGCTGAAAGACCAAAGAAGGGCCAGAGGAACGTCACCTATTAAAAAAATAATAATTAAAAGCGATTCAAACAGGAGACGAGCGAAGGAGAATAAGGTGGACGACGAGCCGAGTGGGACAAACAGGCCAAGGCACCCCTTGAAATTTTGTAAGGGATTGAGGATGTTGGTCAGGAAGAGAGAGAAGGCAAGGAAGGAAGATTTGAAGGTCACCCAGTAATTTAATCACAAATAAATCTAAAATTAATGTGAAAAGGAATGAGCCATCTACGTTAATCTGGGTTTAGGGGGTGGATGAGGGTGGAATTAGTGCAAGGCATGCTTTGAAAATGATGGGGCTGGTGCGTGGGCATGCAAGGATTGGTGAAACGTCAAGGAAGCGCGAGAGGAACGTCACCTATTAAAAAAATAAAAATTAAAAGTGATTTCAGCATAGTTCATGCTAAAGCGTAAATAACGGACGTAGCGCCTTTAGGGTCAAAAAGGCCAAGGCACCCCTTGAAATTTTGTAAGGGATTGAGGATGTTGGTCAGGAAGAGAGAGAAGGCAAAGATGGGAGAGTTGAAGGTCACTTAGAAATTAAATAGAAAATAAATATAAAATTTACTTACAAAAATATTAAGCCCGCTGCTTTACTCGATGTGCGTGGGTTGTTGAGGGTGGATTGAAAGTTAGGCACGCTTTGCAAATGATGTTGCTGCTCGGTGGGCTTGCATGGCTTGCTGAAAGACCAAAGAAGGGCCAGAGGAACGTCACCTGTTAAAAAAATAATAATTAAAAGTGATTCAAACAGGAGACGAGCGAAGGAGAAAAAGGTGGACGATGAGCCGAGTGGCACAAACAGGCCAAGGCACCCCTTGAAATTTTGTAAGGGATTGAGGATGTTGGTCAGGAAGAGAGACAAGGCAAGGAAGGAAGATT